TCACACACACACACACACACACACCCACACACATATATATGTATATAATATATATTATATACAGTGTATATGTGTATCTATATATAATATTTATGTAGATACACACACACACACAAATACACAGACTTTCAAATAATACAATTATTGCAGTATGTCTTCTTCAGTACAGTAAGCAGAATTTTCCATGACAGGATCATTTGTCACTGAATTTCTTTTGCCACCCAGTGGAGTGTGAGAGTAATACAGCTATAATAATAAATTCTCTCTAATTCATGGTTGACTAAACAAGATCAACTTTAAAATGCAAAGTATCAATGATTGACAGCTATTAACCGAATATGATGTTAGCTTATACTAGCTGCATTTTAGTGTTCTCCTGGTTCTTGCGTAAAAACGGTTTAAAAAGACTACAGACATAGAGATACAGCAGGTCAAGTTGAAGAGTGTTGATTGGTTCTTATTTTCTAAAATTACTTGAATGAAGCTTCTTCTTTACAAATCCACAAAGACAGACCTGAGGGCAACTTTCAAAATAAGACCTCAACAGGAAGTGTTTTAACCCACTCTCCATCTGTATTCATGTACTGTCCCTCCTATCTAGAGGCATGACTTTATCTTCCTCTGTCACCCACACAATGACATCACCATACAGCTGTGGTGTCTGCATAAGCCACAGGGCTCTGAATGTCTACCACAACTAGGTCAAGCATGCAAAACGAGCCTATTTGAATTTGAACTCATTGTCTGTAAATATGTCAGTTTGGCTCATTTGCATTAAGCAAACTTAATATACTGCCTCTTGCTTACTCATCTTAAAGGACAGTGTTCTGCTCCCTGTGCCTTTTCTGGTCTTTTAGATTTCAGTAATCCACCACAGTGCACGTGCATCTAGTTTCACATGTAATCCCGTCTCACACGAATGCTTTCAAAAACACATTAGAGCCCAGCATCTGGATTAATCTCTAATGGTCAACAGAGAGAGCACCATAACCACACAACCAGTAGAATGCGACAGTGCCTCATATACAGTATTACTTACAATCATATACAGGTGCATCTCAATAAATTAGAATGTCGTGGAAAAGTTCATTTATTTCAGTAATTCAACTCAAATTGCTCCCCTCAAAGCCGTGCAGGACCACCGCCCACCTTTCCAATAAAGCATATGCTTCTGATGGCGAAGCGGCTTCCACGCTGCACGCCATGGCAGTGCTGCAGGTTTTTCAGGCGAAGCTCCTGCAGGCAGCGGAGGGCGGAGCCCTCACGGCAGAGGCCATTAAGGATCTGCGCGCGGCGACGGACTTCGCGCTGATGGCGACGAAGCGAGCGGCCCAGGCTGTGGGTAAGGCCATGGTTTTTATGGTCATCCTTCAGAGGCACCTTTGGCTAAACCTAGCTGACCTCAAGGATGCTAACCGTAAAGTGCTGTTGAACGCTCCGGTGACTCCCTCCGGCCTTTTTGGTGACGTCGTGGAGTCCATTACTGAGCGCTTCGCGGAGACTCAAAAGCGCGCCAAAGCCATGAGTCACGTGATGCCGAGGCGCGCTTTCCAGCAGCAGACGGCGAGATCCAGATCCTCGTCGGCACCTGGCTCTTCCCAGCGGAGGGATAACCCCAGGCCAGCGACCGCAGCGGTGACGGCTAACGTTACTGCTCCTCGCCAGGAGCCGGATTTCCGGAGGAAGGCGTGGGGTCCCGGGAGGAAACGCCACGGCCAGCGGAGGAGCCCGCAACGTGACTCTCGCCCGCCACCGGCTGCTAAGCCGTCATCCTGACGGTCTGAAAAGAGGAGGAGAGTGCGCGAGCGGCCCGGCTCCCAAGCGCCACAAGTTCATGTTTTCAAATGTTTGTGTGTTGGATGTTCATTCAATAAAAATGCATACATTCTCACAAAAAGAGCTATTTCCTTGCAGTCTGCTCGAAAAAGGAGCGATAGAACGAGTCCCTGGAGAGCGGGTTTCACAGCCGCCATTTCGTGGTACCCAAAAGAAAAGGGGGACTCTGCCCGATTCTAGATCTCAGGCCCATCAACAGAGCACTTTGCAAGCGTCCATTCAGGATGATAACGCTTAAACAGATCCTGGCGCAAATTCGGCCCGGGGACTGGTTTGCGTCCGTGGACTTAAAGGACGCGTACTTTCACATTCAGATAGCACTGCATCACAGACGCTTTCTGAGGTTTACTTTCGAGGGCACAGCATACCAATACTCTGTTCTCCCGTTTGGGCTGGCTTTGGCCTCACGCACTTTCTACAAATCCTGGTGCAAATTCGCCCCGGGGACTGGTTTGCGTCTGTGGACTTAAAGGACGCATACTTTCACAATCAGATAGCACCGCATCACAGACGCTTTCTGAGGTTTGCTTTCGAGGGCACAGCGAGTGTACCAATACTCTGTTCTCCCATTCGGGCTGGCTTTGGCCCCACGCACTTTCTCAAAGTGCATGGATGCAGCACTTTCCCCTCTCAGAGCGAGCGGGATGCGCGTTCTCAACTATCTGGACGATTGGCTGATTTTAGCTCAGTCCCGGGACACGCTAGTCAGCCATCGGGACATGCTAGTCAGCCATATAGACACGCTGCTTCTTCACTTGGAGTCCCCAGGGCGATGTGTCAACATGCAGAAGAGCATTCTCGCCCGAGTCAATCTATAACGTATCTGGGAGTGTGCTTCGACTCAGTGGAGATGCGAGCCATTTTGTCTTCCCTGTGCCATTTCAGACTGGGCAACTCTGTTCTCTTGAAGGAATTTCAGAGGCTGCTGGGACTCATGGCGTCTGCTGCAGCGGTATATCATCTGGGCTTACTACACATGCGCCCGCTACAATTATGGTTGAAATCTCGAGTCCCTTGGACAGCGTGGACTTTGGGCCTTTTGCACATCGCGGTCTCCCGCGGCTGCATCGAAGCTCTGAGGCCGTGGCGCAACCCAGATCTCTTCAGCCGGGGGGTTCCCCTGGGCTTGGTGACATCGCGCGTTGTGGTCACGACGGACGCATCGACTCGCGGCTGGGGAGCAGTGTGCGAGGGCATGCCAGCTTCGGGGCTGTGGTCAGAACCCCAGAGCCGGTGGCACATAAACCGGAGCTGGAAGCAGTGTTCTTAGCTCTAAAGGATTTTTGGCCACAGCTGGAACAGCGACATGTACTGATTCGCACCGACAACATGTCTGTGGTCTCGTACATAAATCACCAAGGAGGCGTACGTTCCAGGGCTTTGTAATCTATGTGGCCGCTATTGCCTCGTTTCGTTCCCCGCTGGACGGGCAATCGATCGGTAGGCACGCGCTGGTGGTGAGTTTTCTTAAGGGAGCGAGAAGATTGCATCCCCCACGTCCGCCTTCAGTCCCGCCCTGGGACCTAGAGGTGGTGTTAAGAGCTCTTTCACAGCCACCATTCGAGCCTTTAGCATCCATTGCTATGAAGGAGCTATCTCTCACACTGCACTTCTTCTTGCCCTCGCTTCAGCTAAGTGCATAGGGGATTTACATGCATTTTCTGTGGACAGCGATTGTATTCGCTTCGGACCCGGTGACTGCAGCGTCACTCTCCGGCCGAGACCGGGCTATGTGCCTAAATCACTATCTACCCCCTCAGAGCGCAGACTGTTTCGCTGTCTGCCCTGTCTTCTGAGTCACCGACCTCATGTGATGCGGACACTCAGACTTCGGTGTGCCCCGTCAGGGCTTTGAGGATTTAAATTGACCGTTCGGCCAACTTTCGGCAATCTGACCAGCTTTTCGTGTGCTACGGTGGTTGTGCGAAGGGCCGGGCCATGTCAAAACAGAAACTTTCCCACTGGATTGTTGACGCTATCACGAGCGTCACTCTCCGGCCGAGGCCAGGCTACGTGCCTAAATCACTATCTACCCCCTTCAGAGCGCAAACTGTTTCGCTGTCTGCCCTGTCTTCTGAGTCATCGACCTCGCTTGATGCGGACTTTTGAGGATTTACATTGACCGTTCGGCCAGCTTTCGGCAATCTGACCAGCTTTTCGTGTGCTACGGTGGTTGTGCGAAGGGCAAAACAGAGACTTTCCCACTGGGTTGTTGAGGGTATCACGGCTGCTTATACGAACCAAGGTTTGGAATGCCCTTTGCACATTAGGGCCCACTCAACAAAAGCTATCGCCTCCTCCTGGGTGTGGTCGAGAGGTATGTCTATTCAAGATATATGCTTTGCAGCCGGCTGGTATTCTCAGAATACCTTCGCCAGGTTTTACAAGCTGGACGTTCAGTCCTTAGCCTCCCGAGTGCTGTCGGTGAGTGACTGTTTCACGTTTATGCTACCTCTATTCGTGTGTCGCTGCCTCGTACAGTAATTACTCTGCGCAGCCCTATATGCTATTGTTGTTTTTGTCTGCCCTGTACTCAGTGCAGCTTCCTGTTATTCATGACTGATTCACTTTGTGCTACCATTATCATGTTATGTGCTATGCTGCTTAACACCGTTATCTCTGTGAAACCCCTGACAGTAATGTTGTTGCTTCTGCCCTGTTCTCAGCGCAGCCAACGTTATTAATGACCAGATATGCAAATTTCGTATGCCTGGGCATTAGACGCTCATTGGCTTATCTCCACCTATCAGCTGCGAGCCCGCCTAACAAGCGTCGCTATTGGTTGGGAATTGTGTGTGTTCTATCTTCGCTGAGTGTGTAACTTGGACAGGCTGCTCGTAGCCTCTCTCACGGCGGGATTGAATATCATTCCCATAACGGAGAAATATCTCCGTGATGTCTCGTGAAAGCTCGAGAGGGAACGCTCTGGTTACTGTCGTAACCTCGGTTCCCTGAGAGCAGGAACGAAACATCACGGTGGTCGCCGTGTTCGCTGCTCGATCAGCTAAGCTGCGTTCAGTATCAGATTCTGACGTAATTGTCGCGTGCACCGCATTTTATACTGCCGCTCGAGCTCGTCAGTATTTGCATGCGATTTGCATACTTCGCGTCAATTGGCCAGTCATTTGGACTGGCGGGAGCCAATAGGACTTCAGGAAAGGTTGGAAGGGAAGGAGTTCCCATAACGGAGAAATATCTCTGTGATGTCTCGTTCCCACTCTCAGGGAACCGAGGTTATGACAGTAACCGGAGTGTTTCGCTTTCACAACGAAACACACAGTGACTCCACAACATGGCAGCGGCGGCAACAGCAAAAATAAAAGTTACGCCTTCTTTCTTTGCGTGAACATTTGGGCGGCGTTATGCAAATCTTCCCACATCGTGACATGTTACACGTGACACGTGTTAGAACGAGCCGTTTTAGGTAGGCGTGGTTGACTCTTAACTTGTATAAGGAATATCTCTTTGGATTTGAGACTTTAGTCTTTGCAACTTTACAGATCTTCTTTATGCACCAAGAGCTTGTAACACTCCAAAGAGAAAGGAAAAATTGAAATCGCATCATATGACCCCTTTAAGGCAGTCGCTCTTAACCAGGGGGACAGGACTTACTAGGAGGCCCTCAGGATGAATTATTCAAATTAATATATTATCATCAATACAATTAATATTCATATTATTAATAAAAAGTTAAAATAATGTAACTTTAAATGCTAAAAAATACAAGAAATCATTTTTATTTTTATTTTCCTCTCAATGACTAGTGTTTCCCAGTTTTACTTTATAAATGAGATTGTAGTAGAAACACTGGAGAAAATATCCTGATTTGTGTTGGATAATAGGGCCCTTTCAGTCAAAAAGGTCAAGAACCACTGCTTTAAAGGGGTCATATGATGCGTTTTTTAAAGATCATTATTTTGTGTATTTGGTGTAACAGAATATGTTGACATGCTTTAATGTTAAA